GGAACGGTCTGGCAACCACCCGGCAAGTCTCCTCAGTCTCTCCTTGTCATTCTCGCTGGACTGCAGTGAGAGTGAGAAAGAGAACCAAAACATCTGGTGAGTGACGCAGAGGTGGTGCGCATTGCCGGCCGGTGGAGCTGCCTTTTGTTTCCACGAAAGCCCGGGCTGGCAAGGACAAGTACACTAGTAAAAGTCTCCCGAAGCAACACGATGCAACTTCGGGACTTCCGGTTGGCCGGCCCGCTCGAGGACTGCCAGCGCATGGATTACACTGTTTTCGGATTGTCACTAAGAGGTATGTAACAAGTGGAGGAACATTGTGTGAAAGGAAATCAAGCGGTGAAGAAAAAGGTGGGCGGAGAATTACAGAGCCTTGCGTCGCCACGCGCCCAGGTAGGGATAGGTGCCGACAATAGATGCACCCCAGCACCCAGCCTGCGGTCAGGGGTGGAGCCATTCAGGACGTGCTGAGGGCTCCAGGGCTCCGGATACCAGTGTTCATCTGCAGTTGTGATGGTGCCAGGCGCGTGCGGTTACGTATTTCGCGCGCTCCCACGTAATTTCAAGTCCCGAAAAAGTTTAGGTTTCTTGTCCGAGTCGGACAGCCAGTCGCTAGCCACGTTCGGCTCGGCAACCCGGCTGCCCCGAACCTCACCATTCTAAAAAGGACTTAGCAAGAGCGGTCGCGTCTCTTAGGCCCCTCGGGCAGCCACCCCACTCGCCACGTCCGGTACCCACGCAAACCAGAAGGCGTCCTCCTTGCCTTGCCCACACCTCAGTGTGCGGCGGCAGTAGCATTGCTGCAGCTTCATCCCTCAAGCAGGAGCGTGGTGGGTGGGGAGGGGGCCTGGTGGGGAGCGCCAGGGCTGGTGGGGCGAGGGACCGGAGCGTCCAGGGGGGCCCAGCCGCCCAGCGGCCGGGGCCGGGCCACAGAGCATGCCTCAGCCTCAGTTGCTGCTGTAACAGTGAAAAGTCGAGTTGTGCGTACCTACGTCTCAATCATCGTCGCCAACAACATCGCCATTGGATATCTCCGCGTCAGGTACTGTGCCAAAACTAAATGCAAACGCCGTTCAGTGGCGAGCTAGCAGTCTGCTGGCGTCGCCTTCCCGCCGTGCGGCCATGTCTGTAAGGCCCCTCGAGCAGCGCGCCTTCCCGCCGTGCGGTCATGTCTGTTAGGCCCCTCGTTTGAGCTCGATCCGAAAACGGGAAGTGGCGGCGCCACAGCGCGGGCCGCGGTAAGGCCACGCAAGGCTTGGCGCAGAGCGCGGCGCCACAGCGCGGGCCGCGGTAAGGCCACGCAAGGCTTGGTGCAGAGCGCGGCGCCACAGCGCGGGCAGCGGTAAGGCCACGCAAGGCTTGGCGCAGAGCGCGGCGCCACAGCGCGGGCCGCGGTAAGGCCACGCAAGGCTTGGTGCAGAGCGCGGCGCCACAGCGCGGGCAGCGGTAAGGCCACGCAAGGCTTGGCGCAGAGCGCGGCGCCACAGCGCGGGCAGCGGTAAGGCCACGCAAGGCTTGGCGCAGAGCGCGGCGCCACAGCGCGGCTCACAGCCCACGGCGTGGCAGTGACCGTGTCATGCCGTGCCACTCGGCTGGCCTCGGGCAGCGCGCCTTCCCGCCGTGCGGAGGCTGGGCGCGGTGTCTCTGGCTCAGGCGGTGACCAGTCGTCGATTTCACTACCCGCAGTCCTCACTCCGTCTCTCTCGCACCCGTCCGATTCCAGTGGCGGCGGAATTGGTCAGCAAGGCCCGCAACGGTGGCACTGCAGCAACGTGCCAACAGACGCTAACTTCGCGTCACTTCCATTTCTTGTTCTAACTGGTGGCAGCGTAAAACGCGCAAAACCGTTCGTCATGTGGCTCACGACGGCGGGCGCGGCTGTCGCGAGGGAGGATAAAGTAAAGGATACAGGGCTCCGTTTTGGGCCTTTGCAGTGCACTTTGCATTGTTTTATAAACGCCGCACCACTCTGTTTCACGTGTCTCCAAAGCACGACCTTAGAAGCCTTGTTCGGTTCGGCACGTTGCGGCGGATGGATGGGGAGAACCACTTTGCCAGCGTCGATTAGTGAACCCAAATCCCGTTGGAAACCCTGGTTTCTCCCCTGCGCATGAATGCCTTTACCCGACGCGGCCCTATTGTCCGTCTCTGTCGGACAAACGCGTAAAAGCGAGACGGCAAGGCAGGGCACAGCTAATTTATATTGCCCGTGAAGGACAGGGAAAGGGCATGACGTGTCGTAGCGTTTTAACATGTGTGTTCCGCAGCGGGCAATGCATTTGCACAGTGTCCGACCTTGTCGACCGATTCCGCCGCCACTAATATGTGCCGTACGGGTGCGAGAGAGACGGAGCGAGAATAGCGGACTGCCCCGCCGAGCGGAGAGGAGGGGCGGCCGCAGGGCCTTAGTCCCCGCCGAGCGCGCTGCCCGCTTGGCGGGGAAAGGGAGAGAGGCTCGCGGAGGGGCGGCCGCAGGGCCTTAGTCCCCGCCGAGCGCGCTGCCCGCTTGGAGGGGAAAGGGAGAGAGGCTCGCGGAGGGGCGGCCGCAGGGCCTTAGTCCCCGCCGAGCGCGCTGCCCGCTTGGAGGGGAAAGGGAGAGAGGCTCGCGGAGGGGCGGCCGCAGGGCCTTAGTCCCCGCCGAGCGCGCTGCCCGCTTGGAGGGGCCTATCGGACCTGGTGGGGTCGCAGGCAGAGCGTCCAATCGGTCGGTTGCTACCAACCGTTCGACCGCCGAGCATGGCTTCGGTTGGAGCCGAACCGCCCGCGGCCGAACCGCCCGCGGCCGAACCGAAGGCCCGAGCGGTTCCCCGTCAACCGACAGGAGAAACTGGCAGCGACGACGGCGGGACGAACGCTCTTATGAGTTCGGCTGCCGTTCGGGAGACGGCCCCAGTGCACTCGAGTGCACCTTGGCTGCCTCGGCTAGTTCCGAATCTTCTGTCTCTCTTGCGCAGCACTGGGCGGTGACACTCTGGTCTCCGGTCGCAGGGCGGATTTGGTGAAAGGGAGGAGGGAATGGCGAGGTCGCAGGGCTCCTTTCCTGATGAGCTGGGTGCATCTCAGGCCGCCTTGGTGCAAGGCTCGGGGAGTCCGGCCTCAGTCCGAGTCAGGTTGGCGGATCCTCACCGCGTGCCGTGAATGCCTCTGCTCCCGCCCCTCCCTACCTCCCCGCGCTTGCAGTGCCCCCTCCCCTGCACTCCTCGTTCCAATCACAGCGCGGCCCCCCTTCCAAGATGCCGGACCTCGTTCGGCAGTCGTCTGGGCGGGGGGTGGGGGTGGGGGGTTACCGGGCGCTGTGTCCACGCTCTGTGCCTCTCTCTCGCACACACGGACGTGGCAGGGTGTCGTGTGTGCATCTTTACCGCTACAGCCGCCCCTCCCACTCGCCCTCCTTTCCACCACTGTTGCGGCGAGTGGTCCTGCGGATTGATTGCAGGCAGTGCCTTGTCGCACGGTGTCTCCCGCTCTCATGGTGCGTTCCGGCGGAGCCGTTTGAAGTCGGTCTGTGGGCGGTCACAGGGTGGCTCGAGCGTTTGGCCCAGCTCGGTGCCACAGGCCATGGCCATGGCAGATCGACCCAAGGTTGGGCCTGCAAACCGAGCTATACCTGTTGGCAGTCAGGAAGTGGCCGCCACGCCCACGCCTCCGTCGCCGCCAGATGAGCGCCGAGCCCAGCAGGGTGCCTCCCGGACACAGCGCGGCGGCGCGCCTTGCTTTCCAGAACTAGCTCTGCCATAGGGCATGGCTACATTCTGTAAAGCTTATATTAAAATAGCCGAAGGAACCGATGAAAAATTTTACTATTCAGGTACGAGGCCAAGTTGACCAGTCTCGGTGCCGATCCTCAGGCCAGGGTGGCGGGGCCTGTGGCGGACAGTGTGGCAGGCCAGAAGAGCCCCCATTCGGTGAAGTCGGTGACAACATGTGCGAGTTATGGAGACGGTAACGCTCGTCGACAGAACCATGGCCGGCTCCGAAATAGCCCAAAATCACTCTGTCTCGCACCGGAGCGGGGCACAGTGGGCCAGAAGACCGGCGGAAGCGGACAAAACTCGAGATGCGTTTTGAGCTTCCGAGTCACTAAATAGGACTCGAACCGAACTTGTGGCCTCATCAATGGACTTCTCTCCGAACGAGGAATCCATTGGTGGGGTCACCCGTTCGGTTCGAGTCCTGTTTGGCGACTCGTGAGCTCAAAATGCGTCTAGGATTTTGGCCGCTCCACCGGTCTTCAGGCTTACCGTGTACCGGGAGGAAGGCACCAGGCTCTCCGAACGAGGAATCCATTGGTGGGGTCACACGTTCGGTTCGAGGCCTGTTTAGCGACTCTGGAGCTCAAAACGCGTCTAGAGTTTTTTCCGCCTCCGCCGGTCTTCTAGCCCACTGTGAGCACATTGACCGCCGCTCTTTTGTCTTTGTTTCTGTTTTCTGATTCGGAAAGTCGTCCTCGTCGCTCTCTCTCTCACGCACTGAAAGAGCGTCCCGTAGAGGTGCGACAGAGACAGAGCGACAAAAACGACTCTCACAATCAGTTTGCTTCCGGGCCAGTCGGGCCCCGCGCGACCCTTGTGAGCAGACTGATTCTAGGAGTTGCACTGTCTCTCTAAAACTCATGGCGCGTCTCTTAAAGGTGCGAGAGAGACAAAGTGACGAAAACGACTCTTGGAACCAGTCTGCTGGCTGCGCGCCTTGGCGGTCATTAGGACCTTACATGATGGCCTTTCAGTCCTCCGCTACTGCCTTTCACCAGACTGGCAGCTTGCCTGTTCCCCTCCCCGGCTTCCATATGACCTTATCCCAGGCCCGTCTCACCGTGTCGCGGGGCCAGAACGTCCCGCCAGCAGACTGATTCCAAGAGTCGTTTTCGTCGCTCTGTCTCTCTCGCACTCATGGGGCGTCTCGTAGAGGTCCAAGAGAGACACAGAGCGACGAAAACGACTCTTGGAATTAGTTTGCTGGCGGGCCGGTCGGGCCCCGCGTGAGCCTTCCCAATGAACAGATTCCGGAAGTCGCTTTGTCTCTCTTGCACCTATGGGGCGTCCTGTTAAGGTGCGAGAGAGACAGAGCGACGAAAACGACTCTCGGTCTGCTGGCCGCGTGCTTTGGCGGTCAGTTGGACCTCAGATCATGGCCTATTTCTCAATTCTTGCAGCGGCAAAGTGCAGTCACACTTTTGCCTTACCTTCCGCTGCTTTTGCGCTTGAGTGTGTTGCGGGTTCATTTGTTTTATTTATTCCCTTTTTTTTTAATTTACAGGTCGTGACAATGCAGGAGTGGATTGGTCAACGGAATGCTACTCTTTACCATTACAATGGTTTTGACTACCGAAAGAAAACTGAATATCAAAGGTGTATCAGCTATGTCTGCACAGACCGAAAATGCTTCGGAAAAGCCAAGGTGATGAAGGCGAGCCCAAACATTGTGATAGAAACAGGATTTCACACTCATGCGAAAGACCACATCACCCATTCCACTCGAGAGCTCAAGGCTGCCTTGGCGCAAGCAGTCCGAGCAGAACCAGAAAAAGACTTGTCTGAAATTTTGCGTGTGGTCAGCCAACAGTAAGTAATAATGTTTAAACGAAAGATTAAAAATAATTAGCTTAGGAGAAAATTGTCCGAATTATCAAACCCACTATTGCTTTATTTCGTTTTATTAAAACTTTTCCCATTGTTACAGGTATCCAATTGCAGCTGAACACATATCTCCAGTAAAAGAGAAGAAGAGGCTGGCCAAAATTCGAGGGAATGTGCGACCTAAAATTCCAGCAGACCTAATGGCTTTAGGATTAGATCTCGTCGAGAATCTTTGTGTGAGGGATCTTTACGGATCGTCACAGCCATTGGCAGGGCAAGAAACCCGAGAAAAGTTTTTTCAAGAAACATTAGTGGGGCCGCATGGAACGACTCTGGTGTTTGCATCGCCTTACCTGATTGAGCGCTGCTTGAAAGAGTCCCCGAGTATATTTGTGGATGCTACTTTTAAGATTATGCCCTCTAGGCCAAAGGCGCGGCAGCTATTTTCGCTGCACGCAAAGAAGAACGGGCATGTAAGTTGACATTGCTCTGTAATCAAAACTTTTGGTCCTTTTGTTTTGAGCTTATTGCGAATCTTGTTACAGGTGTTTCCCATAATCTTTTGCATGATGGAATCGAAGAAAAAAGCTGCTTACGTACAGCTTTTTGAGTACTTTCGAGACACTCTCGTTAGAGGATGGCGGCCTTCTGACATAATGGCAGATTTTGAGAAATCTATGAGAAAGGCGTTCAAGCAGGTGTACCCAAACGCTGCTATAAGTGGGTGCTATTTCCACTTCACACAGGTAAAATAAACTCATGCCTAGACATTTCACTTTACTTTGTACTAAGATTCGTCGTGTCCTATAAGGAAACACACAAACTAAATCGGAAAGCAGCTCGCACACCTCGCCACATCACGAACTCACCGCGCCGCGAACACCCCACCGCCCCGCCCCCACCGCGCCGCGAACACCCCACCGCCCCGCCCCCACCGCCCCGCGAACACCCCACCGGCCCGCGAACACCCCACCGCCCCGCCCCCACCGCCCCGCGAACACCCCACCGGCCCGCGAACACCCCACCGCCCCGCCCCCACCGGCCCGCGAACACCCCACCGGCCCGCGAGCACCCCACCGCCCCGCCCCCACCGGCCCGCGAACACCCCACCGGCCCACGAGCACCCCACCACCCCGCCCCCACCGGCCCGCGAACACCCCACCGGCCCGCGAGCACCCCACCGCCCCGCCCCCACCGGCCCGCGAACACCCCACCGGCCCACGAGCACCCCACCACCCCGCCCCCACCGGCCCGCGAACACCCCACCGGCCCGCGAGCACCCCACCACCCCGCAAACACCCAACCGCCCCGCGAGCACCCAACTGCCCCGCGAACAACCCACTACCCTGCGACCACCTCGCCGCTCTGCGAAAACCTCGCCGCCCCGCGAACACCTTGCCACCCCGCCCCCGTCTTACTTGCAGTGTACTCAACTACCGTATTGACTTTTTCTTTAATGTTCTAGGCTTTGTATAAGAACTGGTCGAAGGCAGGACTTCTGAAAGCCCCAAGACACATCAGGGATTTGACAGAGGCAGTCCTGGATCAGTTAATGGGACTCCCGTTAGCAAGGTCGGAAGATATTCCTAAAGTCGTGGAGCAAATATTAGAAAATGCACCTCTCGCTGTCAGCATCCTTGATGGCTTCAAGAAGTTCGTGGCATACTTTAAAAGAAACTGGCTTTCATTGGATGGCCGGGTGGGCTACAAACCAGAAGATTATAGCGTGTTCGGCAGGGCCGACCGCACAAACAATTTTCTGGAGAGTTGGCACTCCCGGCTTCTCATGAAGAAGCCGAACATATGGGTCATGCTCGGTAAGCGCCGCAATTTGGAATATGTAAAAAATTTTATTCTTATCTCCTTGAAATGTTGTTGACAATGCTTCTTTTCTATTTTTCAGGGAGGCTTATTGAAATATGCGTGGAGACGCGAATAAATTTCAATAGGGACCTCAATATGCACGCGATTACGCCTTGGAGGCCCATTGTCCTTCTCTTGAATGAAGTGGAGATTATGAAGGCGAGTCTAGAAATGGAGCTGGGCCACCGCACACCCTATGAGTATGTGGTGTGGTCCCGAAAGAAAATTCGGGACACCATCGCCCTAGTGCGCCAAGGCAGGAAAAAAAGGGCGTACCTCAAAAAATTGGCGAGAGCAGAAGCCAGGGCAGAAGCTAGAGTAGCGGCTAGAGCAGCAGCCAGAGCAGCAGCCAGAGCAGCAGAACGAGACGACGAGGCGGGGCAGGAGGAAGATGAAGAGGAAGAACAGGAACAAGAGCATGAGCTAGAGGCGCAAGAAGAAATTGATGACCCCATTCCAACCAGCTCGGAAGAGTCAGAGTACGTAGATTTACTTTGTTTTGGTAATTTTTGAGAAAGCTCTTCTATTAGATTTAAATATTTTTGTGAGCGCCCTTTCGGTTACTCAAGGGTCTACTTTATTTCTTACCGTACATACTTACAAAAGAATATGCTTAGCATAGAGTAACGGGTTCAGCATGCAGTTGTAAGCGTCAACTTGCCCAGTATGCATTTGTAACTGTGTACTTGGCGAAGTATGCATATTCTGAGTGTGTGCTATCGGTATGCTTTGTAGAAAGTTAGGTTTGTAGTGCTCCAAGTGGTGGGTCAGAGACCACAGGACGGAAAAATTGCAGACTTCACGCTCGCAGGCGCGCGGGCGGGCTTCCCTTTGCCCCAGGCGCTGTAGGGTGGCCAGTGGCCATTCTTCCATGACTATGGTGAGGTACTTAAGCCTAGCCCAGACTCGACGCGACCAGTTCAGGGTAGGTTAAGCTGTCAAAACAGGTGACACCTGTCTCATGGGTAACGACACTTGCCCTCCTCCCCACGCCGGCTCGGATGCCTAACCTAACCTGACCTATCCGGAGGACAGCCGGACGCCGGACAGACGCCAGACGAAAGGCAGACGGACGGACCACCAGTCGACTTCGGTTGCCAACGATGAGAGTGCCTCTGCCCTACGGAGCGCGGTCGCTGGGTCCACCAGTCATCCGCCTGGCGGCTGTCCGGCTGTCTTACGTCTAGGTCAAGCCACCCGAGCCGGCGTGGAAAAGTGGCGAGGCATATAGCGTCATGGTCATGCAGCAGACCTCACCTATCCTGACAGCGTAACCTACCCTGCAATCAAGGGGTTGACCACTCAGCTCAGGAGTGTACACAGGATTACTGATTACCAGTGATTACCTACAAACATACTAAAAAAACCTCCATAATTTTGGCCAGCTAAGAGCATTTTAGCCTAATTTCATAAGAAAAACCCCCAAAATCTGATAAAAACGGCGAAACTAGCCAGTTTTGGTGTGTGATTACCAAATGATTACTGGACAAAGTGTACACACGATTACCAGAGTGGGTAACCCCTTGCCTGCAATGGTCTCACCTAGCCTGTGCTAGGCACTCCTAACCGTGGTTTGGGACAAGTGACCACCCTAGAGCGTCCTGGCACCCGCCGACCGGAGCATGGGCAAGCCCGCCCGTGCGGCACCAAGCCTACATTCTGCAACCTTTCCGTTCCGGGTAGAGGGTTTCGTAATATCGAATTTTGGGTTCGTCACTAGTTTTTCTAAAAGGCTTTAGCCTGAAAAGAGCCTGAAACGAACCTGTGACAAGATTGAGCTCCATTCAAAAACGGGAAGTCACGGCGCCACAGCGCGGGTCGCGGTAAGGCCACGCAAGGCTTGGCGCAGAGCGCGGCGCCACAGCGCGGGTCGCGGTAAGGCCACGCAAGGCTTGGCGCAGAGCGCGGCGCCACAGCGCGGGCAGCGGTAAGGCCACGCAAGGCTTGGCGCAGAGCGCGGCGCCACAGCGCGGGCAGCGGTAAGGCCACGCAAGGCTTGGCGCAGAGCGCGGCGCCACAGCGCGGGCAGCGGTAAGGCCACGCAAGGCTTGGCGCAGAGCGCGGCGCCACAGCGCGGGCCGCGGTAAGGCCACGCAAGGCTTGGCGCAGAGCGCGGCGCCACAGCGCGGCTCACAGCCCACGGCGTGGCAGTGACCGTGCCATGCCATGCCACTTGCCTGGCCGAACCAGCGCGCTGCCTGGGAGCGGCACGGCGGCAGAGCACGGCGCGGTCACTGCCGGGCGGAATTCAAACGCTCGGCCGGCGCGCGCCGGCGCTGGCGCGTCGTGACATTGGGGTCGCGTTTTCGCGAGGAACGCTATTGATCAGATCGCTTCCCGGTCCAGTCTAACGCACGTAAAATTACTAGAAGCTGCTGCCCCAGGGCGTTTGGTCGTACGGTAGCGCGACTGAAAATTCACCTACCCTTCGGGGCGGTGGTCGCGGTCGATCCGCCCAGTTGACAAACCCTTACCATGGACCCTTGTGAACGTACCTGCATGATTCCCGTGGGTTTGCATCGCGCCAGGTGTGCACGGGGCGTGCTTTTGTGTGAAAGTGCGCGCGAATCCGCCGCGGACCCCAAAAACTGTAGGCTCGATGTGCCTCCACTTCCCGTTATCGGATCGAGCTCAAATTTGGCACAGGTTTGTTTCAGGCCAAGGCCTTTTAGAAAAACCATTGACTGAGCGAAAATTAGGTATGACGAAACACCCTGGTATTAGGTACCTGGTACAATCACGCTTCAGTTTTACCAGTGCTCTAAATGATACTAAATTCCCATGTTTATTATTATTTTTATTATTATTAATATTATTATTATTATTTTGCAGCGAGGAGGACGGACAAGAAGACGGGCAAGAAGACGGACAAGAAGACGGACAAGAAGACGGACAAGAAGACGGACAAGAAGACGGACAAGAAGAGGGACAAGAAGACGGACAAGAGGAGCATCACCTGGACAGGCAACAGGAAGAGGCCCACACTGGTGGTATCCCCCACGATGACCCACTGTGGGAAGTGGAAGAGGATGAGATGCTGTCTCAGCTGGATTTAATGCAAGTTGCAGAAGTTGTCGAAGCACCACCGTTTGTGCCAGTCAATTCAGCTCATGAAGACAGCGAGGGCCGACCTGAAGGCTCCTGCACCATCTGCCATACCAATGACGCCAACATGGCAGCCCTCATGTGTGGCCACCAATTTTTGTGCAATGAGTGCAGAGACGCTTTCATGGCGGACTCATGTCCGTATTGCCGTGCGGATATAGTGAATTTCATTCTGATAAGAAGGGTCTAAATGTGTAAATAAAGATCAAATAAATAATAAAATAGTGAAAGACGCTTAGTGTATTAATTCCCTTTACAAAAATAAAAAAAGGCGAAACCCACCCCTTCAAATTAATCCATTTTGTTTAATTCATTTCATTATTCCGAAAATGAAAGAATGAAATGCCATTTTGGGGGGCTCTCAATTTAAGAAAAATTACAAAAACCAATGTGACTGTTCATTTTTGCGTACGCCAGACCGACACCTGTAAGAAAATGGCACGCCGTAGCGACCGCGCGATCCAAAAGGCACTAAGTTGCGGCCCTACGATCTTAAAGGCACGCAGTTTGCCGCACGCGGCCTGCGTGCCTTTCAGATCGCAGGGCCGCAACTGAGCGCCTTCTGGATCGCGCGGCCGCTACGGCGTTCCTTTTCCTTACAGGTGTCGAGACAGTGGTTAGAAACAGGCTCCGCTACGCTGAGCCAGTTCCAACAATCCACGCCTGGCGTTAACACCTATCCTGGCCAGCATTCGGCTGACTCTTTCACCACACATCGGTACACAAACAGACTTGATCACATGCCGAAACAGCATTCTGTTTTCGCATTTATGCTGGAGCTCTACCCCCCAGAGCCCCCTTTCAAAAAAGGAGTGGCGGTCTTCGCCGGTCAAACTGCACCTTTGGGTTGGCACCTCGGAATTCTGGTGAAATTATGCCCTATTTATGCCCCAAACGCAGACTACTTAGGTTCGAGTCAATCGGTCTAAATTGAAGGGGCTGATAGGTAAAACGAGGGATCGAGATAAGCGTTTGAACGCGCCCAAAACTTCTTTTTCTGCGACCAAAACCTGAAAACGAAACGCTGCCAGTGAGCGCCCGAGGGGTAGGCAACCCCTTCGACGCCGATGACAAGGACGCACCGCATCCCCAAGGCACCGCACGGGAGGAAACCACGCCATCTATCGGTCAACGCGGAAACTTCGTCGGGGACGGGGGCTAGGACGCGGAGGGAAGGCTGCGCAGTTGCCGCTTTGGGTATGTGCCGCAGTCGGGACAAGACGCAGTGGAGTCAAGACGCAGTGGGGACAAGACGCAGTTGGGACCCGCTGCAGTTGGGACCCGCTGCAGTGGGGACCCACCGCAGTCGGGACACGCCGCAGTGGGGACAGGGAGCAGTTGGGACCTGCCGCAGCCGAACCCCACCGCAGTTGGGACCTGCTGCAGTTGGGACATGCCGCAGATAAAACCCGCCGCAGTTTCGCACGGCCCTCTGGATCTAAGTCGTGCATTTAATTTTTCGGACTGCCACGTTGTAGAAAAAGTTATGCTGAATACAATGAGCGCAGACTCGTATCTCTTGTTCCAAGCGTTCGGAAGATACGCCGCTTTCAATGGAATAGTACTATTTTTCATGTTTTTTCGACCTCTCTACTCGGGGAAAACCCGCAAGTAATGACTTTAGAGACCACATGCATAAGATAACTTTTATTCGTTTGGACGAGACAAGACAATATATGTACCATTCATGTATTTTTGGTATCCACATGGCCCAGTAGCCTCACCCTGTCCCAATGTGAACTGAGTCATTTTAAAACGTCAAGTCGGTCTGTGGCCCTTGACCTCAAAAAACCCCGCTCCGCGCGTGACCCTTTTTGACGCCCATTGCACCAGGGAACACATTCCTAACCTCGGTACGATCATCCGACGTGCATTTCAGACGCTAAAAAGAAAACAAAATTCAAAAATCGTGCCACTTTTTCATCGTTTTTCGTGGAATCGAACTTCCAACCCACGTTTCTCATTCAGAAAGCACCCAGTTCTGTCCCCCAGTTGTGAAATCAGTAAACCAAATAACGCTCTATTTTGGTCAATTTTCCGGAGAACCTGACATAACCGGAAGTTGGAAATATTGAAGGTGTCCCAATGTACCCGGTGTCCCACTGTACCCCACCTTCCCTTACTGGCGGAGAAGAACCTCGTGCGGCTACAAGGTCCCACTCGTAGTGTGACCAGTATGTGACGAGGTGTACATTCCCCCCCCCCCGGGGGGGGGGCACCCTAGAACAGCCTCTTTGAGCAGGACTGGGTCGGTGTCCACCTCTCCCGGCTCAATTCCCTTGTCTCGGGAGTGAATTCATTTTTTCTGACCACGGTTGCATAGTGTTTACCTCCCAGGCGGTACCTCTCACACTTGGCAAATGTGGGCCCTAGAGTGGACAACGGAGGAAAGTCCCTCTTGATCAGATCCTGCGTGTCTATGTTCGGAAAATATTAAATAATGGGTGCGATCAGTTGAGGAAAAGTTGATCGGCGGGTCGAGACAGCGGCCCGCTCGCGGTGCGGTCTTTTAGCCCTCCTGGAAGCATATCTGGCACCCACGTTTACTAACCTATATTTTCGGGAAGATTTCTCTTTGAGTTTGAGGAACAGATTGCTGCAATTTATTCGATAAACTGGGTCTTAGCATTCGAACGGCAAGCTTAGGAAAGACGTCATGTTGCTTAACATATCGGTCAGGTAAGTCCACCGCAAGTTAAATGGTCAGCTAGATCCCAAAATACAGCGAGCCTATTTTTGCAAGACATTAAGCTTTCGGTTAAGCTTTCCGATCTGAATAATCAACGTTGAACGGTTTTCACTGACTCGCAGTCACAACTGTCAAGGCAGTATGCCGGCCGCGCCGAACAAAGCAGCATAAAACCGCTTGGTTGTCCAGAAAATACAGTGTTTGACCAATCTGATGAGTGGAGTCGAAAGCTTAGACTCTTGCAAAAAGTCGGCTCGCTGCTCGTTTGGGTCCATTTTGTGACTTGCGGCGGGTTTACACTGTGGCAAAAAGGTACGGAAAATCCTGTTAATTTTTTTGCCAGGATTCTCCGTAGCCCTCTTATCAATATTCTCCGTAGGCTCTTACAGTATTCTCCGTAGGGCCGCACAGTATTCTCTGTAAATCCGCACAGTCTTCTCCGTAGGACCTCGAAGACTGTATAGTCCTACGGAGATCACTGTGCGGTCCTACGGAGAATACTGTGCGGTCCTACAGAAAATACTGTAAGAGCCTACGGAGAATATTGATAAGGGGCCTACGGAGAATTACTACAAGCTGTTTACAGAATTTTCCGTAGCTTTTTGCCACAGTGTAACCTGATGGATGTTGTGTTAAACTACGCCACGACTTTCCTCAGCTTGCCTTCCCATTCCCCATGCCCATTTCCCTCCAGGATGGCATTCCCTCCATAAGAGAGGTTTAAAACAGAAAAATATCGACATACTTTAGAGCTGAGGCCCCTTGCGGGCCAAAATCACGTGAAACGCAACGAAAAACCTATTTGTCCACGGAAAGTACATTTATGCATAAAATGGGTGGGTTACAAGCCAAACCAGAAGTGCCACCGGAACCAAAATTTTACTGGAACAACTTGCACAAGGCAAACACACAAGATTGGTTCGCAATCAAAATTTTTGAATGGTCTGCAAGCAAGGGGTGGAACGGAAAATTACACTTATTGCTTGCTAGGTCAATTTTTTCGCGCTTTGGAACTTATTTAACTTTATATTTCCGTTCTAATGGTGCCACATTACTCCGCCACTTTGCAAATTGTGTAGAACGAATGCACCAACAATATGAGAAAAGTTTCAGAACGGTCGCACATAAGGTAGAAAAACCGTCCCAAAAAAACCGATTTTAGACTTTTTGAATTTTAGTTGTGGAAGACAATTTTCGGAATCATCTTGTGTCAGCAAATTTTACTCGAGAGATACGTTCTACACGTCAAAACGTAGCCTCACTTGCGTAGAACAAAATGCACTTGGCGAAAGTGATTTCTCATACTCCCTTGGGCTGTAGTATAGGCGGGAAGCCCCAAATCTGGAGCGTAGGACATCAAAAAGTGTCCACGGAAATTACATTCTAGGGTAAAGCTTGCAATTTAACGGTGGAAGGAGGCAAAATTTCATCTTGATGAGAGTTGTACCTTGTCCGCAAGGTCAAAAAACATAAAGGTAGGAAAAGACCCGGTTAAAATCGACTTTAGGTTGGAAGAACCAGAGAGAGGACACGAAATTATCACATCTCGCGAGAACTGCTCACGACGAGATATACGCATGCAGCGGCGATTTCGGGAAATTGTAAGGCGTTTCATACGAATTTTCCTACAAAAAGTAGATTTTCACTTCCCAGCAGTCCCTGCAGCGTTTCCCAGAGTGCCTCCAACTCTAAAATCGTTATTTTGGGTCTCTAGAACACCCGTGCAAAGCGCCAGACCGGGGTCAAAAAGTGCAAGGTTAATTCCAAATCTGTCGCTTACAGCCCTGACTAGTATGTTTGGTTTTAAAACAAGCTTGTGACGGTCTCTATCATTTTGATATATCATTCAATAAGTTACAGGGTTTGTCTTTATTCTTATCAATTTCTCATGTAATTAAAGAAAAGCTCTTACCACAAACGAGTAACCAAACTGCAAACTGCAAAAGCAATTTTGGTACTTTAAACAATACTTTGTGACAACACTTTTTTCACCTTAAATTTCTGTTGAGATTTCTAATTTATCTTTTTTGGTTGCTGAGTTATCTCGAGTTGAATGGGCCAAGTCAAAGTGTCACTTCGTCCCCCACGTAGTACACTATGTGACCCCCTTAGTGCACCATGTGACAGGGGCCTTTTGTCAGGGTTTAAATCCTATTCAGCGTATCTATACGCAAAGAATAATGAAGAAGTCTTCCAGTTTTTTATTTCCGTTGATTTTGTCAATTTATCATCTTGGTTCCCGAGCAATGAAGGTTTTAGTTATTAGGTACAAATGTCATGGGCTAAACACTTTCAACTGAGTGAATCGTGGAACCCCATAGCGAATGACAGTAGTGCACATGGTACCCAGATCAACAGTTTAGGGGAAACAGAAATAACGCTCAAAGTTTATGCCGTAGAGAATCGAGCCAAAGCTTATTTTGCGCTTAAAACATCAAAAAAGAACATCTTGCAGAGCATATGTCCTAAAAATGTTTTTTAAAGTTAAAAAGCGGACGCGGCGTCAAAT